GAGTCAAGCTCCGTATGAAGACATGAGTATCCCCATACCAAGGTGTCCATGCATGCCAGAGATCAACATGGAAAAGAGAAAACATTACTTCAAGTCTTCTATTCATCAGTTGACTTCCTTTGTAAAAAGAATTTTTCATTGCCAAATTAGTTTGAGTTGCTTGTGGCTCAATGTAGCTGAACCATCGGACCTTATTTGTCAGCTTGGATCACGTGATCCATCCAGCTGCCGCGTGCGGCAAACAGCCCAAATAGCGCTAACTCTGGCCTGCGAGCGTTTGCTGCGACTAGCGCGCTAGCGCTCGTGACATACACAAACGCGCTAGCCAGAATGCTTTGACTTTGATGGCTTTCAGCTTCTATTTTTTGAAAAGTAGCGCGCTCAGACCAGCTCGCTCACTCTTTTCCTCTTCCATTTTTTAGGGCAATTGTTTTGTTTGATAGACGAAGCTTAGGGTCTCTTTGGGTTTGCAACCCTTACCCTCCTGGAAAAAATCATAGTTGTGCTAGACTGCGACACTTCAGACCAGGTACTATTAGAGCCGCTAATGGACGACGAGCTATTTTCCGCTATCCGGAGCTCAAGCATTTGAGCCGCTAAATGGACGAGACTCCTGAGGTAAAGGATGCAGAGAATGAGGAGAGAACACTCGTATGGAGCAGGGAGTAGGTAGTGTACTACTTCCTGGTATGGAGCACTGAGAAGCGGTAAGTCTTAGGGCAATTCTTAGCCAGTAATTACTTTCTCGCCATAATTATGTTCTCGTTTTTCGTGTCTTCTGTAATACCAGTACACTAGCAGTACGACTACACTGTAGGCGAGAGTCCATAAGCCAGAGTGTGCAGCTCTCCATCTATGCAGCATAAACAAATTAATGACAAATTTCCTTTGCCTAAGGGCTGGGTTCCACTGCCGCTCCGCCGCACATCATCCACGGCATGAAACGTCATCATTACGAGCTGGTCCAGCGAGGCCGCGGCTCATCACCAGCTTTCGCTTCGCTGCTTGATACAAAAAAATGCAAGCCGCGGTCACGGCTTGCATTGTTTCCCGCACTTAATTGTTTTATTCGGGGGAATTTTAATTCGTTGCACAGGCCAGAACACGAGGATTTTTTTGGATTTCACGCGCGCGCAGGCAGGCTAAATGTCATAAAAAAAACGTCGAGCACGATCGCGGTACCGTGAATAGCGAGTGTCACTGGAAGCGCGCCGCTCTGCTGCATGCAGCAAAGTGACCGTGGAGCAGCGGAGCTGCGGAGCCGCAGTGGAACCCGGCCCTAACCAAACTTATAGCAATTTGAAAATGTTTGACAATTTTTCATAAAAAAACTTGACAACATTGTTCTTCTGTAGAGTGCCGCTGGCAACTCCATCGATGAACTCCATCAATGAGCGCAGGGATAAAGTTTAGAAACCCTTCGAGCGAGAACGTGTTTTCAAAAAGGAAGCACAAATATGCCGCGTAACTTCCCCTCTAGTACTGTATGGCCCCATCAAAGCCACTCGCTGACTACTTACCAGTAAAATGGGGTTGGACAGTTGTCAGATTAGCTGACATGTTTTCTGCCAACACAACCATAAGCAGTTGTCAACTCTCAAGACTAAAAGAGCTTGCGAAGAAAGTGAGAAACCTTGGCTTTGAAAGCACATGAAGCGTCAGAACTTAATCGAGCAAACTTGGACCTAGACTACCAGTGTCTGCTCCAGAGCCGGGTCAGTGGCCCTGTTTGTGAGTACTTGGACCTTTTGGAAAAAGAACACTGGGTTACCTGCGACCCGGTCGGAAGTCCTGTCGAGTACTATACTTTTTTATACCGTTCGAGGGTATACCGCCACTGACAGGCTGCATACGCGTGCAGATGCGTGCGGCCAGAGTGCCCAGTGCGAGTACGTTCATACATGTACATGTACAATCATGTACATCAGGAAGTCGAAAGTAAGTTTACGACTCCCTGACACACAGTAGCCGCACTTGAACGCATCTGGCTCTGGCCCAGTGTTGCAGGAATTGTGCCAGGTAGACGTGTACCCGGTTTGTGTTAAATCTTAGAGCAGGTACTGCATACCCTATCATATCTGTGTACATGGGTAGACAGAGTCAGTGTTGTTGCGTCCCACTCAGCACCCTTCTGGTTCATTTCGGCACCAGCACTCTTTGCGTATGCAGAGTTGAGTAGAGTGCAAGTTCGGACCACAAGTACACTGCAGCGGCTAGTAGCAAACCTAACCTGTGCCGTGATGCCTGGCACGTGTGTGCATCTACTTCATCCCTGAGTAACACACCTGGTATATTGTGCACAATAGGGCACAGTAAATAATCAGCATGCATCGCAGTTTTCTGCAACATATTCCTGAAGTCACTTTACACCTCAGAAGAATTGCGTCGCTGACTGGAATTCGATACCGGTTTAGTTTCTCTCTGGGTCATTATCAATCATAGAAAACCCGTCATACAATAGGTTCAAGCTAAAGTACCGTATCACCATGGTAATTACCTGGAAATTCGGTGTGTTTTCTACGTTTTTGTTAAACAAGCAGCAATGTGCAACAGAAATTACCATGGTGATAGAGTAGATGACCGTGTGAAGCGGTGTGAGATGCAGCAAAGGTGAGCCTGTTACTGCGAGTCTATGCCCTAAACAATAAACTTTGCCGTGTTATGATTCTCTTTGGGCTGCACACTCTGGTTAATGTACTCTTGGTGGCAGCATTCTGGTGCCAAAGATGATATTTTTTCAGAAAAATAAGCACTAGAGAAATGGAGTGGGAGTAACCTGAATTATTCTATTAGCAGAGCTGCAATACTTGGGATATGAGATTATTCCCGTAGCTATGCAAAAGACGCTATTCAGTTGTACTTTAGTAGCATCTGGCGCTAGCCAGTATCCACACCGCTGTAATTCGGTGCGTGTCACGGTGTCTGGTAGGGTGGTTCACGTGGCATGCCATGGTTGGTGCAGTATCCCGTATGTGTCCCGTACCGTAATTCGAGTATGCGGTGCGCACCGTAGCATAGATGTATCTGGAGCGCTGTACGAGCTAAGATGTCGGGGCAAATATGGGGACATTCACAACATGCAATGTGAATATGCACGTCAGTTTCGTTTTAAGAAGTGGGTTTGACGGAGTAAGAAAAGGCCCCAGCTTTGGCTGCTGCATGCTAGCCCAGTGGGTACCAATCTCCTGCCATTGGCCGAGTGCTGATGGAACGGAGTAGAAGAAAAAGAAAGAAGAATATTGCGTTCAAGAATACAATTTCGGTAAGGGATATACAGTAAAACCTGTAACTAAAGACCACCGTGACTAGCGACCAGCCTGGTACTACCGGCCACTTCGCCAGGCACGGAAGGTCTCACATTCAAAATGCACTGTGACTAGCGACTACCTTCTGAACGCGACCAGCGACCGCCTTTTCCTGTCCCAAACACAATTTTTGACCCGTAACTAGCGACCGCGATGTAGGAAATCAAATGTTGCTCGAAGCTCCTTCTTGAAATTTTACTGATTTTCCATGGTCCTGAAAAGAATCTTTCGATACTACAGCTGAACAAATGAATGCAGGTAATTTTGGCTGTGGAGTCGGTGTGGACTGCACTACACCTGTCAAAATTTCAAGCGCTGTCAAGAAAAAACATGATAGGAAACGTCTTGGAGAGCGCATCGAAAGCGCTCTCTGATCGATGTTACTACTCGGAGGAGAAACGAAGACTGGGCGGCTCTGTCACACCAGTCATACAGACGGATTGACGATGGCATCAAGGAATCCAGAAACAAAGCAGCACCACAAGGTCCTGATGCTGAAGGATCGCGTTCAAGCAATCCAGAAGTCACAACAAGGACAGTCGGTATGATTGATCGCATGAACAAATTTGAAGCCCAGCGCGAAACGAAACTTCCCCAGGGAACGTTTGACTCCTGGCTTCAGAAGTAGCAGCTGAATTTGAAGTCTGCAAAAAATTAATCTTCTCTCTTTCTCTCTCTCTCTCTCTCTCTCTCTCTCTCTCTCTCTCTCTCTCTCTCTCTCTCTCTCTCTCTCTCTCTCTCTCTCTCTCTCTCTCTCCATCTCTCCGTCTTTCTGACATTGCGCAAGTCCTGGGGAATCGTATTAGCTGCATTTTGACATACATATCATATAATGGGATCCACATATGGTCACGCGGTGCAAACCTCTAACTAAAGACCACCTGCTACTAAAGACCGCTTTTGCTGGCACCAAGGGGTGGTCGGTAGTCACAGGTTTTACTGTACCGGTAAGTGGATAGCTAACTAAAATAATTAGCCGTATGGTTTAGAAATAGTGGTGGCGACTCTGGATGGCAGTCGTGAGTCCGTCAAGTGTCAAGTCGACGGAATAGCGCTAGCTCCAGTGTGGGGAGCAAACCCATTCCTAGGTTAGCATCCCCCCACCTCACAACAGAGCAACCGAGTTTTGGATTAAGCTGGGATTGCCGATTCGAGCAACTGGTATGATGGCTCTGCTTGGAGCCACTAGATGGCTCGCAGCTGAGCCGGCAAATGACTCTGCTTGGAGCCGGCAAATGACTCCGCATGGAGCCACCGAATGACTTCGCATGGAGCCGCCGAATGACTCTGCATGGAGCCGCCGAATGACCCCGCATGGAGCCGCCGAATGACCCCGCATGGAGCCCCAAATTGACTCCGCATGGAGCCGCCAATGACTCCGCATGGAGCCGCCAATGACTCCGCATGGAGCCGCCAATGACTCCGCATGGAGCCGCCAATGACTGCATGGAGCCGCCAATGACTCTGAGTAGAGCCTCCAAATGCTAAATATATTGGTATGCATAACCAGTTGAGAGCATATATTCCATAAATCGGCACTCCCGGAGCGGATCACAAAGTGCAGCTACCCGTGCAATCTGTAAGCGGTGCAAGCTAGGTAAAGACTGTCAGAACTTGATATCATGGGCTGAGGCCATTGCCGCAGCCACCCATACTTTGGCTGCAGGTGGCGTCCGAATGTTACTCGGGCAGACATCGCTTTCCACCTTCCCGCTTCTCTGAATATCGAGTCCCGCAGCTGATTCGAAACGAGTGGCCGGTGTACAACGCCAGGCCAAAGCCACAACTGATGAGCAATATCCTCGCAGTTGCTGTAAATGCCCATCGATTGGCATTCGCAGCTGATGCCGCTAGTTTTCCCAGGTGCTGCGGGCTGCCACAATTGCAAACAACCCTTTGCGATTGCTGGTCTGCTTGATTGACTGTCCATCGCCCTATCCCCGGTCGCAATTGTACGAGCACCGGCCAAGTGCACCACTTGCATCAGTGAATACCAGCAAGTCGGGGGACGGCGTCCATTTAGGGTATAGGAAGAAGGACCGGCCGTTCCGCTAATCCAGGAGCTCAGGCCATCAGCGAAGATCTTTGAGGCACTCTTTGGAGAGCTTGATCAGGTAACACGGCTGCCGGTACCATTTGGCAAGTGACCACAATCTGCAATTTGCATCCAGGGGCTATCACTCTTGTAGCAAACGGGAGCTTTCCCAGAAGAGACTCGAGTTGACATTGGGTAGTTGAAGCTGTGTGAAGAGTGGCCCGAAGGAGATCACGAAGCTCGGCAAGTTCGTCCATAGGCATACTGATGTTAGCGCGGCGGGTGTCCAGGATGACGCCGATAAACATCAGGACGTGGGCTGGACCCTCCACTTTTGCTGACGCCAGAGAAAACACCGAGGTATGTAAACGCGCGGCGCCGAGTAGCGAGTTGCTGGCGAGCTAACACAGGTCCAGAGCATGCATTGAGGAAGCACTTTTACTGACGCCAGAGAAACACCGAGGTATGTAAATGCGCGGCGCCGAGTAGCGAGTTGCTGGCGAGCTAACACAAGTTCAGAGCAGGCATGGAGACAGAAACGTTAGTCGAGGCACTCCCCGTAATAGGATGATGCCAATAACGTCAGGACTTGAGCTGGACCCTCCACTTTTGCTGGGGCCAGAGAAACATCGAAGTATGTAAATGCTCGGAGCAGAATAGCGAATTGCTGGCAAGCTAACACAAGTCCAGAGCATGCACTGAGGAAGTAACGTTAGTTGAGGTATTCCCCGTAATGCAATAGGCGTGTGAGTGCGAACTGCTAGCACATAATCCATTCACTGGCGGATGCGACAGAGTTCCATATAGCTGGACTGGAGCGTAATACAGTCTGAAGGGCAGGGCACTCTCATAAAAGTATTGATCCTGCCAGCGGATCGACAAGGACCAATCCTCCGGGCGGACGGGAATTCGGCAGAAT